CTTCATGCGCGCGTCTTCGAACGCCTCAAAGCCGCATTCGTACGGAGAATTCTTGTCGCTGTCCGGCTTGCTCGGACCCAGGAGCTTGCCGATACCGACCAGTGCCCCCCCCAAGCCGAGGCCTACGAGGAGGAACAGCAGGACGGGGAAATAGGCAGCGAGGTTCAAGACTATCCTCTATCGGTTGGTTCAAGGTGCCGGCCGGGTCGACCACCCCGACCAGTATGCTGCGCGGATGAGTCACGTCGAAACCGCGGCCACCGCGACAAGACGAAAGCAGCGCTCAAAAAATAAATGCCAGCCGAAGCGTAAATGCAAGCGGCTGGCATTGGATAACGTTGGTGCCGACGATGAGACTCGAACTCATACGGCTTTCGCCACTACCCCCTCAAGATAGCGTGTCTACCAATTTCACCACGTCGGCACTGTTTGCAATCCGGGAGGCCACTCGGAGCGTCAGCCCGTCGTTACCACTGTTACCGCGAATCGCTTCAAGACTCGAATTGTAACTGGGTTGATTCATTTGTTCAACGCACAAAGCACGTTTTTCCGTACGCGACAGGAAACATATTTTTGCGCGCTTTCGCGCTACTTCGGAACATCCCGCCCCGCTGCGGACGCAGCGGCAGCCGATGCCGTGCCAGTCGACGCCGCGGCGCCGGAGGCGGTCACCGACGCGGCAGCCGCCGCACTCGCGCTCGCCGGCACAGCATCGCCAAGCAAGCCGCCGCCCACTTTCGGACGGTAGCTGCCGAGCCCGGTCAGCGCGAGCGTGCTGATGAAAAACAGTGTCGCAAGAACCGCGGTCGTGCGCGACAAGAAGTTCGACGAACCGCTCGCACCAAACAGGCTGCCCGACCCGCCACTGCCGAACGCCGCGCCCATGTCGGCGCCCTTGCCGTGCTGCAGCAGCACAAGCCCGATGACGCCAAGTGCCGACAGCACCTGCACCACGATAATCAACGTTTTCCAGAACAACATTCGAATCACCCAATATTAGCCGAATCCCTGGCGAATGCCGCCGCAGCCGCGCCGATCGCCAGGAAGTCTATCGCGGACAGCGACGCGCCGCCGATCAGGCCGCCGTCGATATCCGCCTGAGAGAACAATTCCTGCGCGTTGCCAGGTTTCACGCTGCCGCCATACAGCAGCGGCACTTGCGCGCCGTTCTTCGCCGCGAGCTGCGCGCGCAATGCGGCATGGACCTGCTGCGCCTGCTCCGCGGTCGCACTCCTGCCGGCACCGATTGCCCAAACCGGCTCGTACGCAACGACGAGCTTCGCCACGTCGGCAGCCTCCAGCTTGTCGAGCACCGCTGCGAGCTGCGCGCGCACGACACTGCCAGTACGACCGGCTTCGCGCTCGGCCAACGTTTCGCCGACACAAACGATCGGCGTAACACCCGCCTCAAGTGAGCGCTGCACCTTCGTCGCAACGCGCTCCGAGGACTCCGCATGGTACGCGCGCCGCTCGGAGTGCCCGATAATCGCCAGCGTCGCGCCAAACTCCGCGACCATCGGCGCCGCGACTTCACCCGTGTACGCCCCCTGCGTGTGTGCGGATACGTCCTGCGCGCCGTACGCGATTGGCGTACCGGCAAGGCGCGCCTGCGCCTGGGCAAGATAGGGGTACGGCACGCACACGCCGAGCCGCACATCCGGCCCGAGCGTCGTCACGCGCTGCACGAGCGCATCCAGCAGCGCGTCGTTGTCAGCGATGCGGCCGTGCATCTTCCAGTTTCCGACTACCAGCTTCGATCGTTGCTTCGACATGGGTCTTGTGAGTGTATGACGCACGCGCGTCAACCAAACCAAATAAGGCACGCGCGCCAGCGCAGCAAGCAAAAGCCGTGCGCAAACGTATAATTCTACTGCGTGGCGTGACCCGCGGTCAAACCCGACACGATTCACCAGGTCAGCACGATCTTGCCGATGTGCTCGCCTGCCTCCAGCATCGCGTGCGCCGCGGCGGCCTGCTCTGCGGGAAAGATCTGATGGATCACCGGCTCGATGGTGCCCTGCTCGATCAGCGGCCACACACGCTCGTACAGTTGCACGGCAATCGCAGCCTTGAATGCGACCGGGCGCGGGCGCAGCGTCGAACCGGTCAGCGTCAAGCGCCGGCGCAGCACCTCGACCAAGTTGATTTCGGCCTTTACCCCGCCAAGCAGCGCGATCAGCACGATGCGTCCGCCGTCGGCCAGCGCGTTCAATTCTCGACCGACATACGGGCCACCGACCATGTCCAGCACGACGTCCACGCCTCGGCCATTCGTCAGCGACTTGACCACGGAGACGAAATCCTCGGCCTTGTAGTTGATCGCGCGCTCGGCGCCGAGCCGCTCGCACGCGCGGCACTTCTGCTCGTTGCCGGCCGTCGCAAACACGCGATGACCGAGCGCATGGGCAATCTGGATCGCGGTCACACCGATGCCGCTCGAGCCGCCCTGCACGAGCAGCGCCTCGTGCGTACCGCCTTCGCCGGCGCCCAGGCGAGCACGGTCGAACACGTTGCTCCAAACGGTAAAGAAGGTCTCGGGCAGCGACGCGGCCTGCACGTCCGACAAGCCAGCGGGCACCGGCAGGCACTGCGCGAGCGGCGCGCTCGCATATTCGGCGTACCCGCCCCCCTGCACGAGCGCGCACACTCGCTGCCCGCGCGTGAGCCCAAACGGATTGTTCGCGACGTCGAGATCGCCGTCGACGATCTCGCCCGCAATTTCGAGGCCGGGAATGTCCGAGGCGCCCGGCGGCACAGGATAATGGCCGGTACGCTGAAAAACGTCCGGGCGGTTCACACCCGCCGCGGCGACCTTGATCAGCACATCGCCGGGCCCTAGCTCCGGCATCGGACGCTCACCGGGCTTCAACACCTCGGGCGCGCCGTATTCGGTCATCTCGATCGCTTTCATGCCGGACTCCGTGTTGCCGTCAGGTTGACAACGATGACAAGTAAAAACGGCCGGCGGTGCGCAAGGCACCCCGGCCGCCTGATAGGCATGCGCCCCAGTGCCACCCGCGCGCGATCCCTTGCCGAGCATCGCGCGCGGCGCGCCTGAATCGGCCCGCCTTACTCCTGTTCCGTCGGCGGCGTGGCAGGCGGCGTCGCCGGTGGCGTGATAGGCGCCTCGTTGAGCAGCGCCTTCGCGGACAGCCGCACGCGGCCCTTCTCGTCGGTCTGGATCACCTTGACCTTCACTTGCTGGCCTTCCTTCAAGTAGTCGTTGATGTCCTTGATCCGCTCGTTTGCGATCTCGGAAATATGCAACAGGCCGTCGCGGCCCGGCAGGATATTGACGATCGCACCGAAGTCCAGCAACTTCAGGATCGTACCCTCGTAGAGCTGCCCGACTTCCACTTCCGCCGTGATGTTCTCGATGCGCTTTTTCGCCTCGGCCATGCCTTCGGAGCTCGTGCTCGCGATCGTCACGACACCGTCGTCCGAAATGTCGATCGTCGTGCTGGTTTCCTCGGTCAGCGCACGGATCACCGAGCCGCCCTTGCCAATCACGTCGCGGATCTTTTCCGGATTGATCTTCATCGTGATCATCCGCGGCGCAAATTGCGACAGCTGCGTATTGGTCGACGGCACCGCCGAAGTCATCGTGCCCAGGATATGCAGTCGGCCTTCCTTCGCCTGCGCGAGCGCAACCTGCATGATTTCCTTCGTGATGCCCTGGATCTTGATGTCCATCT